TTACATCCAAGCTTAATGCAAGCTAAGTAACCAGGTAAGTTATCTTGAACTGTGTGTAAATGTACACATTTCGGTTTCACTCACCTGTAACTTTGAAATGATTAAGGTAAACATTTTAGAAACTAATTTTCAGTATAATGGATTTAAACACACATACACACACACACACACACACACATATATATATATTATATGTATATATAATGGGATAATAAATTCCACCATTTAAAGTGAAAATAAAAATCCAGAGGGGACTTCCCACCATTATTCCACTAGCCCTGAGAGGTTCAATCTGCTTTGCCAGTTACTCCTTTCTCCATGAGCCTTTCAGTGTGTGAGAGTACTTCATAGAAAAGTCTATTCAAACACAGATCAGTTCACAGCCTTCAAATATATTTTAAATCAGAATAGTTAAAATTCTGCAATTACTTCTTTGAAACCAATGAAATAAACTCAACAATTCAATAAATGCAAATATAAATATCTGAACAAACCATACTTGCATTTCTCTACTTATATCATGCAGTGTAGAAATGGTGAGTGGGGGTTGGAGAGATGGCTCAGCAGTTAAGAGCACTAACTGCTCTTGCAGAGGACCTGGGTTCGATTCCCAGCACCAAGATGGCAGTTATGAACAATCCTTAGCTCCAGTTCCAAGGGACTCCAAAACGCTTCCAACCTCCACAGCATTGCATCACATGGGTGTACACTCACATACATACAGGCAATACACTCGTACACATAAAATAAAAATAATAAAACATTTTAAAAAAGAAATGATGAGTGAAGAGAAATGTTGACAATGATAAACATTAGGTTTTTCTATGATACCCCTTATCTGTCTCTCAAGAACAATTCTTTCTATCATATCCAATTTTCAGAACTATTATTGTAACCTTTTATGGATGTAGTGGGATTGGAATAATTATAGAACTTAAAAATTGTAGTCCAAATGTGTGCAGGTGCCCATGGAGGCCAGAAGGGGATGTCAGATTTCCTGGAGCTGGAGTTACAAGTGGTTGTGAGCTGCCTGACATGGATGCTGGGAACTGACCTTTGGGTTCTCTGGAAGGGCAACAAGTTCTCTTAACTGTGGAACCATGTCTCTATCCCCCCAACAATTACAGGATTTTTGAATTTCAAAGTAGAGGATATCTTAAAGAACATCATTGTTAAGCTTCAATTTACAGAAAATGAATTTCAAGGAGAGTGACCAGAGTGGTAATTTGAAAAAGTCCTATAGGAATTTACAAATAAATATTACTGACATTCTAAATTCTAAAATTTAAAATTACCACAAAAATGATCTGAGTAGAAAGATACAGGCAATTTATAGAATGCTAGTCGTTCATGGCAAGAAACAATATATTGCTCAAGAATAACATAGTCTGGTGAAGCGTGCAGAAAACTTGAACCACAGAATAGGCATATCTGTCTTCAAAGGTAAAAAGATTGAATAGAATGTGCATAATGCCTATTTTTCACATTGGTTTCAACAATGTGAGGTCAGCTAAGATGACAGAGATATTTTTGTTTACTATTTTACAAAACATTCTGACATTAACCCATGTAAATGTGAGAAAACAGGAAAAATGAACTTTAGATTGGTAAAATAACTTTTCAAAAATATATTTTATTTATTATTTTTATTTTATGTGTACAAGTGTATTGCCTGCATGTATGTGAGTGCACCCAGGTGGTGCAATGCCACGGAGGTCAGAAGAGGGTTTCGGATTCCCCTGGAACTGGAGTTAAGGATGGTTTGTAGCCATCATGTGGGTGCTGGTTATTGAACCTGGGTCCTCTGAAAGAGCAGTCATTGCTCTTAACTGTTGAGCCATCTCTCCAGCCCCGGTAAAATAACACTTTTGGGGGGTATTTAAGAGTAAAACTTCAGCTATTTAAGTTAATTAATATAGCAAACATATTAATGAAATATATGTTTAAAATTATGAATCCAAAGAGTCAAAAGAAACTTAAATATACTTTTGAAACTGTAAGTAGCATTTGTTCTTAATTTCTGTTCTTTTTAAGGAAATATTTTTATTGAGTTTTTGTGCATTTCATATAATAGTTCTCCCATACATGTTAAGTCTTATCCAGTCAAGCATTTGTACCCACATGTTCTTTGGTGCAAGTTCATCCACTGGAGTCTAGTCAGCCTATCTAGAGATCTTAAGGAAGGCCTACTCTCCCTCACCCAGCAATAATCAGTCTCCAATAGTTCCAACTAGTGTTGGCCCAGTGCTCATTTCCCTTGCTTCACTCTGGGCCCTTGTCTGATTGAATTGGCATGGGTTTTGTGCTTGATACCACCATTGCCACAAATTCACATGAGCAAGCTTCTAGCGGCCTGAAAGCCTATTTCCCTATGTTCATTATCCAACCCTGGCTCTTACGCTCTTTCCACCCCCTCTTCCACAATGGTCCCTGAGCTGTGGGTGGGTGAGGTTTAATATAGGAGTCTTATCCAGGGACATACACTCTGCAGTATCTTATTCTTAAAACTTAAGCAGGGTGGCCTTCTGTGATATGGTTAATTAGACTCACACTACTTTTACTCACCTTGCTTAGGCCCTTTTCTTTCTTTCTTTCTTTCTTTCTTTCTTTCTTTCTTTCTTTCTTTCTTTCTTTCTTTCTTTCTTTCTCTTTTGTCTTTCTTTCTTTCTCTCTCTTTCTCTCTCTCCTTCCCTCCCTCCCTCCATCCCTCCCTCCCTTCCTCCCCCCTCTGTCCCCTCCCTCCCTCTTTTCCCCTCCCTCCCCTCCTTCCCTCCCCTCCCCCCTCCTTCCTTCCTTCCTTTTTTTTTTTCAAGGATAAATAACCACAAAACAAAATTTGAAGTATTCTGTCATAAATAGGTAGTTCTTTCTGGTGGACAGTTTGGATTCTGGATTCAGATATATTTATGTATTAGATCTATTGCTGCTTGTGGACAGAGAATAATTTATGTCTTGGGGTTTTATGGTTGTTTTCTTCATAAAATAATAAGCTGCATCACATATTTATTCTAAAATAATGAGTTGCATTAAATATTTCTTCATTAACTGTAAAACAACCAATTAAGTTTTTCTTCAGAGTGGTGTGGAATGTATTTGTCATTGGCTCTGATGAGAAGAGAGGTCTCCGTGTTTGTGTTATGGCTCATTCTGGGCCTATGTGTCTTATTAATGATGTTATACTCCCTTTGGGCCTTTGAGTATTATGGTACCTGTGGCTCTTCAGTTATGTATATTTACCAAAGACAGCTTGTAACTACTTTGGGCTTTTCTGAAAGAGTTAACCAGGACTTTCTAGAACACTGTCTTAGGATGATCTGCAGGGAATTCTTCCCATCATATGGGAAACTCTCTATACTGCTTTAATTACTTAGATCTTACCATGCTTTCAAATTGTAAACTATCTTATAAAGTCCTAATGATCTCTTTGCTTCTTGTCCTGAGCAATATGTAGTGTACAATCAATTGTATTAATCATTGCTTAACCATTTTTGGTCATATATTTTATCTCCTTGCCTTACATACAAATGTATTTTCTGCTCTTAAGATTAGAAACTCAGGGCTGGAGAGATGGCTCAGTGGTTAAGAACACTGAATGTTCTTGCAGAAGACCTAGGTTTGAATCCCAGCACCCACACGGCAGCTAACAACTGTCCATAACTCCAGTTCCAGGGGATCTGATGCCTTCTTCTGACCTCCATGAACATTGAATGACACAGGTGCACCTACAAACATTCATGCAATACACACATACACATAAAATCAAATAATAAATAAAATATTAAAAAGATTAGAAACTCATTTGGAATACACTAATATATCACTGATTTGGAGTTACACTGAACATGTTTGTGCTGAGTCAAATGAATTGCTTGTGTATGAAGATTTTAAAGTTTAACATTGCATCTCTGTTGTTTCAACAAATGAGGGAACTCCATGAAAATACACACTGTTTTTCAGAAAATTTTTTTTTTGGTGACTAGCAATCAGTACCCTCCATTATCATAATCCTTAAAAAAAATCACAATTAGAATTGAGTCCGGAAATACAGAGATTCTCTTGGACTGTCTGTGCCCATGTACTTTCGGAACAATGGGAGGAGCCTCTGTGGTGATCAGGGCATCCTGCCAATGAAGGACCTTCAGTTAGATGCTGGTGACATTTAAAAAGGGCAGTGGGGTGAATGTCAGGTCACTGAACATCTTCTGGCAACAAAGTGTCTTCCCCCATCTGCCCTTTCTATTTCCTTGAAATTCAACCCTTCAATTCCTGTAACCAGTGCAGGATTGAGGCAGCACCTGCATGCATTTTCCATCTCAGACAATCAACCCCATTAACATCAAGGATCAAGAAGACCCACTTCAGCCTTGTGGCAAAGAAACTTATTCTTGATACACCTACCTCAGTTTTATTTAAGTGGAGCCCTGTGGAGTTCAGAGTAAGATGTATATAGATCATAGAGCAGTGCACATGCAGTGGGTCCCTCCCGTGGAAGGGGTATTCTTCCCTCAAGTTTAAGTACAAGGTTATCTCCTTTGTCTAAGTAAAACGCAGAGAGAAAAGAGTTTGGAAAAACCATTTACTTCCTTGAATTTCAGTTCTCTAATGCTTACATGAGAAAGATAATATTTAACTCACATAATTGTTGTCACACTAGATGGTTAGCATGGAGGTTATTCTTACCAACATAAAAATTAGAAATAATAATGCAACATAAACGATGCCATGGAGATTTGATGTGGCCATTTTACTGATCTGAACATTTTTCCTGCAAGATGCCCACTCGCCCAATGAATTTTTGATTAATTTTCAGAAGTACTGAAGAATGACATGGAAAAATCATTCATAAGAACAAATTATAATGTGGAACTTTCCAGGTTGTCACTTCTGTCAATGAGCTCTTTCTTCTCTATATGAATTCTTCTTCCTCTTCTGTCTCAATTCTCCAAAATTATTTGGTGGCACATCTGGTGTCCTTGTTTTGTGTGTACTGCAGGCCTTTGCTGGGTGAAGTCAGTGAGGCTGCACCTCTTTAAGGCCTCCCAGCCTCCGTAATGCTGCCTTCATCTCTTTGTTGCGCAGTGTGTAGATGACGGGGTTAAGCAAGGGAGTGATGACTGTGTAGAAGACAGCAACTACCCCATCCAGAGGTTCCTGTGAGCCAGGTCGCAGGTAAATGAAGGTGCATGGCACGTAGTAAACAATCACCACAGTGAGGTGGGCAGCGCAGGTAGAGAAGGCATTGCGACGCCCATCTGCAGACCGGATTCGCAGAATGGCAGCTACGATGTAGCCGTAGGAAGTGAGGATGAGCATAAAGCAGGTGAGAGCCAGGAAGCCAATATCTACAAAGGTGACCAGCTCATTGATGGTGGTGTCTGCACAAGCTAGACGGAGGATGGCAGGTATGTCACAGAAAAAGTAGTCAACTCTGTTTGGGCCACAGAAAGGCAGCCTGAATATGAAACTGGTTTGGAAAAGCGAGTGGATGGTCCCTCCAAGCCAGGTGCCAAAAGCCAGGTAGTTACAGACACTGCGAGTCATGATGGTAGCGTAGTGTAAAGGCTTACAAATAGCCAGGAATCGGTCATAAGCCATAAGTGTGTAAAGAAAGCATTCGGTACAGCCCAAGAAATGGAAAGAAAAGAGTTGAATTACACAGCCCCCAAAGGAGATAACTCTGCTATCCAAGAGAAAGCCAGCTAGCATCTTGGGTACAATAGCAGAAGAAATAGTCATATCTAAAAAAGAGAGGTGACATAGGAACCAGTACATGGGCCGGTGGAGCCGGATGTCCACCAAGACAGTGAGAATGATGAGTCCATTGCCAGAGACAGTGAGGAAGTAGATGGCAAGGAAGGTAAGGAAGAGTGGTACCCCCAGCTGAGGTGGGTGGTGCAGGCCTACCAGAATGAAGTAAGGCACAGAAGTCTGGTTGCCTCTCTGCATTTCTTTGGTGTTCACATCTGTTGAAAGACAGCAGAGAGGAAGGCTTAATGCCCATGTAAATTCTCTAGACATGGCACGTGTGTGCTATACTCAGGCACAGAAGGGACTCATTCCCCCCACCCCTGTCTGTCTCATCTTTCTCTCTTTCTCTTTATCACCTTGCTTTCCCTCTCAGTCTCCCAACTGAGATTCTGTTTGGTTCCAGAGAATATTCCTTTGCTCCAATAGGAAGTCAATGAACTATTTATACAGTAGTCTTTCCTTATCCACAGTATTGTTTTCCAAAGTTTCAGTTATAATCACCCATGGTCTGAAAATATTATTTGTCTTGCCTTTTCAAGAGTGAAGGATCATAGAGTTTTTATTATTGTATATCAGTAGATTAATATTTTATTATTTAAGTTGCTAATCTTTTACTTTTCCTAATGTATAAAGTAAAGTTCATCACTTAAGCATGTATAGCAGAGAACACTGCATGGAGAGAGGTTGGTCCTGTCCAGGATTTCATATGTTTATTAGGGATTTGGAAATGTATCCCTACAGATAATGGAGGCTATGATCTAGCTTCAGAAGAGTGAAGGAAACACCACAAACAGAACAGAGTTTCTCAAATCAGGAGGAAGTGTTGTGATATTAAATTTAAATTAGCCAATAAGCAGAATTATCTCGTGTTTTCTTTCAGCTTGATCCATAGTCTTCATGCTAGAGTTAGGCTACCTCTTATTTATTTTCCAAGAATATAGAGTTGAGTTGGAATCCTATTTTTAATCTACTTCTACATAAAATGCTGCAAATTCTGTGTCAAATCTGATATATTCAGAAACTGGTTTTATTAATAGATTTAAAGTAGTTTATTTTTTCAAAAATTCTACATAAAATTTCACATGCTATTTGAAATTCTTCAGGCTAGTAAAGCAATACAAAACCAAGCCTTAGGACACCTGACTATATTTACATTTTGATAAGTGAGCACACCTGTCCATCAGTTCATCCATCAGCATTCATCCATTTATCCAGTGGGACAGTATATATTTCATCCATCCATCCATCCATCCATCCATCCATCCATCCATCCATCCATTCATCCATCCATCCTTCCTTACCTACATCCATCTATGTACTAGGACAGTATATATTGGGTTTAAGAACATGACTTCTAATGTATTACTGGGGTAGAAAAACTTAGTCCTTCCAATTCCATTTAGAAATGCCAATTCACATTTTTGGCATAAATTTTAAGTCTAAGTGGGAGTAATATTAGTGCTTACTTAATAGGATTGTTTTCGGGATTAAACAAACTCATTTGCATAGCTCACAGTAGCACTTAATAAACATTAACTGTTATTTTCCCATCAACTAAATGTTGTGGTCCTCCACTGGCACGCAGATCAGTCTTTGTGTGCCTCAGATGTGGAGCAAACCTGTGTCTTGCAGTGAGTTGCTCCAGCACAGCTTTAAAGCTGCATCAGAAAGAGCTGCTTCTCCTGGCACTGGTGGTGGTGGTATCAGCCACAGGGAAAGTGAGGTAGCAGGAAGTGGCTAAGGGGTGCATAGGTCTCCCACACAGTGTCTCATTCTTCCCACCAATATTTGCTCAGTTTACAAACTGGAGGCAGACATCCTAATGGTGTATCATCTTCACAACGTCTCAGCAGCAACCCAGAATTACCCAGAATTCTTCAGGGAGTATGTAATATGAAACCGGGCTTCCAGCTGGATTGCTGGTAGTCAAAGGAACCATGGTGGTAGCTTGTCATCTAGTTACTTTTCCCCCCATGGACCACCTGGTGTCTTTCATCTTACCTTTGCAATAGTCTTTTCTTCCACAGAGATTGCTTTTTTCAATGATGAGTTTAAGCAACTTCTGTTCCTATAGACTTTCTGTGCTAAAACTTAGTCCTCAGTAAACAAAGTGTTTATCACTTTAAACAAGGGCTTAGAAATACATAGACATTGAATAATCATTCAAAATGTAGCTATAAAAATATGAGGCAATGTTTAGTGATTCTTCCTGGATTTCCCAGGTGCCATGGTTTGGCATTGCCAAAATAGAGAGTTTTAGTTTCCTGGTATAGTATATAGGAACAGAGTTCCTCCAAACCCAGTGTTAATCTTGATTTTTACTCTCTTCTCAAAACTTTATTCCATAAATTAGGCTCTAAACAAACAATTTTACTGTCTCCATTATGTAGTATATTCTTCAGTCTGAAACAGTCTTGTCTCATGTCTGAACAGTTTCTGCTGGTCATTCAATATCCCAGAGTGTGGTTGATCACTTTCTCTCTAATGATCACTCATTCATTCTTTGTGGTCATACAATACTTCATTAACGTTTCTGAGACAGGCTTACTATAAGCCTGCTGTAATTTGTGTATGTCTGATATCTCCACGAGGCTAGGAATTTCTCTTAGAAACCTTTTAAATATTTCATTGCATTCCAACTGCACAGCACACCTCTCACAGCTTCTCAAATAATAGCAAGTGAATTTCATTGTCTGGTAGTTCCTATTATTTAAAAACTGATTCTAGGATAATATTAGTTAAGTGTTACAATCTGGTTTCTAAAATCACATGAATCATAATACTGATATATTCACAGCACACTAGCTATATTGTTTTGGACAAATCTGATATTTTTACTCTCAGTTTCTCATTTAAGAAGATAGGGCAAATTATTAGCAATAATTAAACATGAATCTTTTCTGAGTCTATGTGAATTCACTTAGAATTTTTCTCTCACATGAGAAAAATCAAATTTCCTCCATGTCTCAAATTTTTTCTACATCATAATACCTTTTTTCTTATCTCACTGTTGCCTTAGAAGCCAAATTCTTATTCTTTTTTTTTTTGTAATTTATTGTTCTTTCTACAGAGAAGGGAAAACATATCCGATTTATCTATTACCAACTAAATATTCTCCAGTAGCATGGTGAATACTGTTTAGACCGCCTCATGCTGCGTTAGCAGTGCATGGAACGCTGATCTGAACGATGCACAAGGCTTGTGGATGAGGACGCCAGGACTCATCTGACTGCTTCGTCTTGGTTTGTTACACCCAGTAGGACCTGAACTAGGCTTAAGGTGAACTCTGAAGGTCTGGATCAGAAAACTCTAATACTAGACTGACCTGAACAAAGTTCAGAGTCTTTCCTGTCAAGCATACCATCCTTGGAGGTCTCAGCTCTTCCCTCTGTTCCCAGCACCTCTAACAATTTGTAAATATGCATCAGAAGTATCCCCGTTACTATACCTCTCCTTCCCTGTTGGAGCCTGCTCTGCTGGTAAGATCTGCCTGGATGTGAATCTGCTGTGAGGCCATGGCCAGCTGCTCCCCTCAGCTTTTTCTTGTTCACTTCTGCTCCTTAAGGAGGCCCATTTCAGCAGCTTGATGGGTCATGCAGCTTTGGTGTGTGCCAGGTGCTCCTTCTGTTTACTCTTATACCCTTGCCGAAGCTGTTGGCAGTGGGATCCCTCGTTTTTGGTCTCTGGAGTCTTACTTTCTGCCAAGCAGCTTCATCCTTCCTGTAGTCCCCATGGGGTAGAAGGAAGTAAAGGTGGGGACTGAGCTCACTCTTGCTTTATTCACTGGGGGCAATTAATATAAATGGGAATAAGTTGCATGGGGTTTTGTTATCAGCAAAACTTATGTTTGCTTAGTTAGTAGTGGTGGCACAGGATCCTGATAAGAGCAAGCACTGAATGGAGAGCTCCCATACCTTTCTTTGAGTTTTAGTTTCTTACCATTAAACTTCAATTGATGCTTCATTGTTCACTTATTCCATTAAGGTATGGGTGGAATTCCAAAGAACTTTAAAACAAAAGGTATTAAATGAATGATATATATATGTATGCATACATATATATGTATAGTAGCCCCAGCTGTCCTGGAACTTACCATGTAGACCAGGCTGGCCTCGAACTCACAGAGATCCGCCTGCCCCTGCCTCCTGAGTGCTGGGAGTAAAGGCGTACACCACCATGCCCAGCGAATGCTATATTTTAATGACTTTAAAAGTAGTATTAAAATTGAATTTGGAGTAAATGACTAAGACATTGAATTAGGTAGGTCACAGTATCTGGAACAGAACTGTTTAATCGTCTAGTGTGCAAAATATGAAAAGAATGTCAGTTCCTCAAAAGTCAACCATACTTTGATCAGATTCGTGAGGGCCTTTGAATAAGCGACCCAGAATACACCCAATTTTACCCTTGAACAAATTGAATTCTATGGAGACCAAGAAAGTCTCCAAAGGTTAATGTCACACGATTGAATGGATAAAATTCTTTTTTTCTTTTTGCTTTTTTTTTTTGTAGTGCATATGCAAACTTTATTTGTAGTAGAGATATTCAAAAGTTGAACACTTACAAGTTTGAAACATTTAACATCAGTACTGTCTTAAAAGTTTCATGCTACTTCATCCATTGACCTCTTAGATTCTTTTTTTTTTCTTTAGTAAAAGCAGATATTTTAACACATGTTATGGAACTAGCTCTACACTGTATTTACATGTATTAATTCATTATACATGTAAATATACTCAGAAAGATAATGGCAACCTAGATCTAGGAGTTGTAGAATCTACAATTCTGCAAAGATTCTGTTGAAAAAGAGAAGTTGGTCCTAAAATATTGGTTCATATATCTTGAGTGGTCTGCATCCTAATTCCCTATCTGTAAGTTGGGTAACCTCTTCAGAGAATGATAAGAATAGGAGATAAGAATTGGCTAGGCAGTTAGGGAAAAAAGACCCCAAAGAAAAGTAGCCAGTTTCTTGGTTAAAACTCACAATGTCCTTGGGCCTCTTAGCAACATATTCTGTTCCAAAGGCCAAAAATGTAGAAAGTATTTGGGAGCTTTTATCTAATCCTTAAAAGATTTTAGGACTATCTCTTCAGATGGGGAGAATGTTAGAGTAGCCAAAAGCCCCACAAAAAAATAAATAAAAGACCCCAAAGAAAAGTAGCCAGTTTCTTGGTTAAAACTCACAATGTCCTTGGGCCTCTTAGCAACATATTCTGTTCCAAAGGCCAAAAATGTAGAAAGTATT